CCCGCCCCCCGCCCCTGCGGTGGCACTTTGCTCTGAGCGGAGTCCACAGGAAGCAAGGAGGCTGTGGGAAGGACCCCTGTTGGCTCCGCAGGCCGTGTGCTGCCCGAGCCGTTCTGGTTCTGAGCCTCGGGCCGCACGCCAGGCTCGCCAGTGTATCCAACAGGACCCCTGGCAGGCACCCCGAGTCTCCCCCAGCAGCAGACGGACAGGTCCTGAAAGGGACTGCTGGGACCAGCGGGTGCAGAGGGGAGGAGGCTGGGGGTGGGGGGGGAGATGCAGCTCCTTCCGTGTGGGATGGTGCCCCCTGACTGTCTGTCTGCCTTGTGGCGGGCCGTGCCGCTGCCTTCACTGGCACCCAGGCTGGTCCAGCTGGCCAGTGGGGTGCGGTCTCGGTGTGTAGTGTCCTGGTGAGCACAGGGGCCGGCTGCCCCGTCTTGCTGGACAAGTCGTGAGCATGGCTGGGGCCGCAGGACGTCAGCCTCAGTCTGCACGCAGCCCTCTCAGGACACTTAGGCAACGCTGCAATTCAGAGCACCGATTCTCCTGCGGTCTTCCTTCTCCGTGGTCCAGGGGTGGTCCTGGATGGAGGGGCGGCGGCGGGTGGCAGGAAGGTGTTGTGGAATATGACCGCTGTACCCTCGCTCTGTAGTGCTGACTGACACGTCCGCCAAGAGGCTGGCACTCACCCGTCCAGGAGCGACATGAGCAGGGGCCGAACATCTTCGAACACAGCGTCCTGCCCCTCAGCTGGGCCATAGACTCTGAGCCGTGGGGGGCGGGGGGTGGGACAGAGAGAGAGAGAGTGTGAGCGTCCCCATGCCGGAGTTTGGGAAGGACAGCACACCCGCACATCAACCCCAAGACAAGCGTGGCTCCCTGAGCGCAAAGCGGATCCCCGTGGTCACTGCCCCAGCACGGCGCTGGAGAGCGATGCGGGAAGGACCCCGGACCGCCCCAAGGGCAGACCGGGTCCGTCTCAGAAGTACCCCCCCCCCCACTGCATGCTCCTTAGAGGTGAGGATGGCTCACATTCTGTGGACATGTGGTCAGCAGAGACCAGTCCCTGGGGAAGGACACCATGCTTGGTGACGTGGAGGGGCGGCGGGGGAGAGGATGGCCCTCAAGGAGATGGACAACACAGTGGCCACGACAACGGGCGCAGGCACAGGAGGCACTGCGAGGGGGGTGCAGGACCGGTCAGTGGTTTGCTCTGCGGTTCGCAGGTGGCCACGGGTGGCACCTGGAGACACAACAGAGCACTGCTTCCTATGCCACAGAAACCCGCCAGCAGCAGCTGTGACTGGGCTCAGACACAGAAGCCACGTGGTGGTCGCCGGGACTCAGCACTGGCCCCACGGCCCCTCATCACCGACAGCAACAGCAAACTGAGCTGGAGGGAGTCATGCTCTTGTCCCAGTGGCAGGTGGGGCAGGCGCAGTCCCACAGGGACCCACGGGCCACCGTCCATCAGCACTCCACTCTCGGCCGTGGGCTTTTATGGACACAAGCAGACATGCTCACAACCCAACCAAAACCCGAACAGAGCCCACTGCCGCCAAGTGGATTCTGGCTCCCAGTGACCCTCGGCTCCCTTGAGCTTCCCACCCACAGAGCCCACTGCCACGCCTGTCTCCAGAGCAGCCGCCCGTGGGTGGGCTCTGCCGCTGGCCTTGCTGTCAGCAGCCTCCTGCTGAGCCTGCTAGGACACCCCATGCCACTGCCCCCATAAAATGCACGTTGGTCAGAACCACCAGGCACTGTTTCCTGTGGGACCTGGTTCTGCCAGCCAGCTGTCCGGGACAGTACCCACCTTTCAAAGGAGTATGTCTTATCCACCGGGGGGTGGCCGGGGCGGCTGCACTTCACCCACAGGGTCTCCTAAGAGGAAGGCGGGAACACCGTGCTGAGGCCCGCCGACCAAGCCTCTGAAAGCGGGGTCTCACAGGTGTGCCTGAAGACTAACCCGGGGCCGGGGCTGGGTCGTGGAGGCAGAGACCACCACCTAGACCTGACCCAAACCCGCTGCCGGCAGGGCAAGTCCCAGCCACCCACGGTGGGGGTTTCCCAGGCTGCAGGTCTTCACAGGGCAGGCAGACAGCCTCTACTTTGCCGAGTGCCACGGCTGGTGGGGGCACCCCCGGACCCTCCCATGAGCAGCCCAGAACCCAACCCACAGAGTCCCCTCCATGCTCCCTGCCATTGGGCAGATGCCGACTCGCAGCGACCCTGCAGGACAGGGTGGAACAGCCCACGCTGGCTCCTGAGACTTGCTCCTTTCAGCAGCAGAGAGCCTCATCCTTCTCCCGCGGAGCCGCTGGTGGTTTCGAACTGCTAACCTCGGTGATCAGCCCCGCTCGTGGCCCCTCCCACCAGGCAGGGCTCAACACTGCCAGGGCGATGCTGCTTTTGCCGGCCACCAGAGAAGCCCACAGCACCCCTGAGGCTCCTTCTACGGCCACGGAAACGGTGACACTTATTGCCTGACCCTTGAGAGACAAGCGCTAACAACTCCAGGTACAGAGAACCGAGTCGCGTCCATCCCTGAGCACACAGCAGCGTCCCTGCCCGCTGGCCCCATGGCCCATGGCAGTTCAAGTACAAGAGCACACGGACACTGCACACTGGGGGATTATGGCCAGGGGACCAAGGGCCTGCTGGTGAAAGGCTGCAAATCAAAGCCGGGTGTGGGGCCTACCCGGCATCCCTGAAGTGGTGCCCAGCAGGGAAGCAGCCCTGTGCTTTGTGCCCCAGGGGTGGGTGAGGCGAGGACTTCTCTTTGCCAGAGCGAAGAGGAAATAGGCTTTCGAATGGGCTCCGATCCCAGGACAAAATGCTGATTTGGGGCCGCTTGGGGTGTTCCCAGAACTCATGCAGGCCAAGCGACAGTCCAGGGGTGGGTTAGCCAGGGACACTGGCTTTTTCAGAGTGTGGCTAGACCGGGGCAGCACACGGACAGTGGTCAGTGGTTCAGGTCTGAGGCCGAGGGCCGGGACCCAGGCCAGCTGTGCCCATTTCTGAGGTTCGCTGCTGAAAGCGGCTCCTGGAACAGGTGGGCGGGAACAGCGAATGCCGTCAGTCGGGGGTCTGGTCCACCCCCGGGAACCGGGATAGAAGGCCTGGCACTGAGCCCCTGAGGACTGGGCACTGAATGCCCCCTGACCCTTGGCCCCTCCCAGGGGTGCGCACCTGCGCTGGGGACAGCAGACAGGGAGGGGTGGCTCCTGCCAGGGGGCACATTTCCTGAAGGACACAAGAGGGTGGGTAGGAAACGTGCAGTAACCAAGGGCCTCGCTCTCAGCTGTCATCTCCCCAGGGAGTCAGGGCACTCCCTGGGCTGCCACACTGTGGGGGGGGGGGCGGGGGCAGGGGTGAGGCCCAGGACCTCAGTGGGTGTGGCATGATGCCCGAGATGAGACCATTCACTGTGCCCCTGGACAGCGAGTGGGCCGCAGTGGCTCCCTGACTGTGGGCTTGCTGGGCGATGGATCCCACCACCGTGGGAGGGTCAGACCCACTGAGCAGGCCCTGGGGAGAGGTCCAGCCGTCCATGCCCGTGGGGACCACAGCCTGGAGCGCCCATGGTCGCCGTGGGTCCAAAACAACATCACACCGGGCGGCCACAGTGGGATTTGGCTGTCAGTGGGAGACTTTCTGTCCCCAACACACAGTGCCCTGCAGGGCCCATGCCACGGACCCGGGGTGACCTGGCCCCCACCTGACCGCCACAGGGCATGGGGGGTGGGGTCCTGCCCACGCCTGCTGTGGCTGTTGGGACTGTCACCTTGGTTCCGACGGGAGCGGCCATGTGTCCAACAGAAGGGATCCCGCTTTGCAGGTCTCCCCGCAGACCCAAGTGGACACTAAATGAGACCAGTGAGGGGCCGTCAGCCTGTCTGGGACTGTGTCGCTCAGGGACAGGATGGGGGTGGGGGTGGGGGTGGGCAGGGGGCACGCAGGCCATGGTGGAGTCAGAGCCCAGGAGTCCGGCGTCGGGACGGGCAGATGGAATCACCCGTGGGCCTGGGGGGCCTCTCGGGTGATGTTTAAAAGGTCAGTGGAATCAAATTGTGTTTTAATTTGATAGACCTGCTTCTCGAAAAGCCAGAGCAGGACTCGGTGGCGCTGAAGCCCTCAGGGAGACAGTGTTCTCTGAGAGGAGACCGGCAGGGACGGAGAGGGGAGCAGGCGTGCTCGATGCGTGTGGTCCAAGGTGCTGCTGTGAGACAGACTAGCCAGAGTGCCCCCAGTTTTGTTAGCGGCTAGTTGACCTGCCCGCTCCCCATCCCCGATGGAAAGCCTCGGCAGGTGGTTAATTTTAGAAGGCGCTCTCTGTTCCCAGGTTCTGGGCATTAGGCTCTGTTTCGACTATTCTACAACAGGTTGTTTCTGCGGACCACGCTTCAATGTTGTTCCTTTTGAAGTTGTCCTCTGAATGGTGGGATTTAGCCAGGGTGTTACCACCCATTGTGGTATCGTTTCTTTGTTTGATGACCAGGTACCTGGCGAAACTCCCTTGCTCTTTGTGAAGTTACAATTAACCCATGGGTTTTGCTTTCTGCTTCCGTCCACACTGGCCTGGGTCCGAAACAGGTGAGAAATGAGTTGTGGGCCTTTAAGGGTGGACTGAGAAGTCCACTGGGGGCTGCTGGGAGGGAAGTGTCCTCATTTCTCCATAGCCCAGCCACTGAGTGAAGGCTCTTCTGAAGGTCAGTGCGTGATGGTGGCCGTCACTGACTGGAACCCACAACTCCCTGCTGCGGCGGCGGTGGCAAGGTGCTATCTCACAGGCACCGGCACGGCACAGGGGAGCACCGCCTGGGCTGCGCCGTGCTCCCCACTGTTGCTAAGTTGGAGGCCCAGGATGCAGCCACGGTGTCGGCCCAGCTTGCCAGGGGCCTCCCCCTTTCTTGCTGCCCCTCCGCATTACCAAGCATGACGCCCTTCTCCAGGGCCCGGTCTCTCCCGCCAGTACGTCTGAAGTAGGTGAGACCAAGTTGCACCCCACTTGCCTCTCAGGAGCGCTCTGGCCTTAGCTCTGCCAATACAGGCCTGCGTGCTCTCTGAGGGCCCCC